TATATCGACCCCCAGGGGTCTATGACAACCTGCAGGGGTCTACGTCAGCGAAAAAAAAATTTGGGGGTCCATGAAATGAAAATGGGGGTCCACAGCATACATTGATAGTACCTATTGACCACTTTGGGAATCACTGTTTTAGAATATGTTTTATACTATAATTATTACTATAAAGACAATTTAAAGACAGTTTAGTTACATTTTCAGTTCTTTTTGCATATTGACTAACAGCTAATACTTGTACAGTGTTTTTATTTACCATACATAAATTGTTTGTTTCATATTTTTCTAAATGTAATAATATTATTTTGTTGCAGGATCTATTGGAACAACTATTCAAGTTATTCGATCAAGACAGGGACCAAAAGCTTATCCAAGAGAGCTGGATAGAATTTTTGAAGCAGCGATTACAGTAAGTCGATTCACAATATTTACCAAATCAATTCGTACAAACTAATTCTTAAGAACTTGTCGGTGAATTCAGTAATTGTGTTAATTTCACGACGAAAATAAGCAAATACCGAATAGTTCATTTATATTCAACTATTACATAATAAAGAAATATAGAAGATTTTATTTAGAACTGATGATTTTTTATGATATAACAAAGATTTAATTGAAGTCGATTACGTTCAGGAAAAACTTCACACACTTCTTAGAAAGAAGTCACTAAGAAATACGCAAAATAGCGCCTGAAATTGTTCTAGAAAAAAAAATCCAATAAATTAGAAATAAAGTTTTCCAGATGACTTAATCAAAAGTTTTTTTTTTTTTTAATATATGTCTATGAAGATGATATTAGCAATTTGTTGAATGCAGAAGATATTGTTTTTTTTTTCAATGGAAGAATTAGTATTAATAAGTCGCTGCTGAAAAAATGTTAACAAACAAAGTTTAAATGACTTTTTTTTTTTAATGTGAATGAAGTATTAAATGCTATAAGCAATTCTGAAATGAAAGAGAAAATGCACAAAAAACAACTTTAGATTTGTATTTTCAAATGTAATTTCAGTATGTATGTAAGTTGATTTAATACAACTCTTCTTAAAATATTTGAAAAAAGAAGTGAGAAAGTTTAGATGATAAATACCGTTCTTTTTAAATCGATTTCTACTCCTTTTTTGTTGTTAAATATAGTGTATATTGACTGTACGAGGTAAATGTTTATTATTGTGTTTTTATTATACATATTATTTTCATAATTTACAGTGATGAGAAGCAAATCGATTTTGCCGAGCAAATCGAGAGTGTCGCCTATTGTCTGTGCGGAGATGAAGCTATCGGAATAGAACAGTTCTATCAAATATTTTACGCTAAAGGAGTAAATGAGTAACTGAAGAGAAATTTGGCTTGAAAATACTAATATTAATGATTTTAGATCGTAGACAAGTTATTCAGATTGATAGACCAAGAGAATTTGGGCTCCGTCAGTGCTGAGCAAGTCATGGATTTCTTGGCCAGCATAACGAATACTAGGTAAAATAATATTTCTACTAATTATTGAAATGAGTTTTGTAATTATTTTTTTTCTACAATTTCAGACCTCGAACGGGCTTCGATAAAGGCAGCCTCGAGTGGCTCGAGCAATTGTTCAGACAGACGGTGGGAAATGAGAAGGAAATCCGCAGGGAGGATTTCAAGAAAATCGTTATATCGAAGAATGTAATTTAA